CACTTCTCACTCACACACAAGTAGGCACTAGCTGTCCCTGTCTGGCTTTCAAAGGTGCGCAGAACCGGTTTTTCAGGGGTTCCCAAGTGGTTCTTATCCGAATGCACTAGTTTATGGTCAAACTTGCTGTTTCATCTCAGTCAAATAATATTATTTTTAGTTTTTTAATTTTAAGAATTTATTTTATTTAATATTATTATTATCCCTTGGCTACCGAACCGATTCAGGGCGAGGGCGAGACAGAGCGCTTCTGGGGAGCTTCGTGCGGTTCCCGAGCTAGAGAGCAGCCAACAACCATTCCATCCAATAGCACCGAACGCACTGAACTGGGATTTTGGGAGCACCATCAAGGAGTGGCCAAAGCGACAGCCACCGCATCCATCACGCTTTTCCTGGCCGGCACATGCGCGTTGCCACATGGAAACTGGTTCCCAATGCCCGCAGTGCAGGGGGTGGAGTTCGCGCACAAGTCTCCGGCCCTCCGATTGGCCAGTGCCTCACTTCGGTTTGTATCTGTATATAGCCTGTGTACCCCCGTATCTTGGCCCGTCATTTCCGCAGCGGTTTCTTGCCTCACTCGCTTTTTTCCACTTCCAACGCGAACGTGTTGCTTGTGACGGAATTTATTTGCTTTTTTGTTGCCTACACATTCCGCAGCAGCGAAAAAATGAGCTGAAAAAGCCACAGAAGCGAGTTTCTTCTCGCTCTCCGGCTTTTTTGGCTTTCGGGTATTTTTGACATTTCGCTTTGCTCATCGCTCTTTTTGTTTTGGGCGCCTCTTCTCTTGTCCAACCATCACGTTGTCAATCTTGTGGCATTGCTTTTTGCCTTTCGCCCGCTTTTCGCTCTCTTTTTGCCACATTCTCCGATTCCAATCCACTCCGTGCAGTCGGCGGCAAAAGTTCGTAATTATGTGCGGATTTTAATGCACACGAGTGTCACTACAGGTGTAAAAATATTCCCACATTTCCCACTGCACGAGGGGAGATTCAGTTGGGAAATTCTGAAGGACAGGGCTGAAAAAGCGGGCCACAATTCTAAAACATTTGGAATAGTTACTGACAGCATCTAATCTATTTATTAGAAAACTAAATTTGCAATACATTTTTGGTAACACAATGATTTTTGAAAATTTAATGAAATTTAACATGCTTGATGTATTTGTAGCAATAAACATTTAAAAGTGGAGCCAGTGTGAACTGTTTTTATAAACAGACCACTATATAAATGCTTAAATATTTTAAATACTGTTAAGTTTTAAATTTAAATGAATGAATAAATATATTTAGATATATGGATATTCATCTCAACCAATTTGGTATATATTTAAATATAAATTCACCCTTAGCTTGCTTAAAATTTTTCTTATTATCGATTTTAAAACAAATTTAGAAATTATTTTTACGAAATATTTTGAATTCTTACAAAAATAAGTACGTAATTTTTACATGTCTTTAAAATAATATATTACAATTCAGTTATATTTATATTGGTATATGTACAGTCTCGCTAATAGACATTCAGTGTTACTTTTAAGAGTCCAATAAATTTTGTATTAAGTCATAGTCCACATCCAGAATATCTTTCGATGATGTGGAACCTGAAGCAGAACTATTAGAGTCCCAGCAGAAATTCGGCACCATGGGTTGATTCGGGGTGTAAGTATAACTACTTGAATTTGGCTCTATGAAGTTTCCTGTGGGAGGAACTGTATCTTCAAGACCCAACCAATTACTATCCCAATTGGAATCGAATTCATTAAAAGACATCTGGGGAAGATCCATTGGAGCAGGATAGAACTCATGGAGGTAATCGTAGGCTTGATATGGTGGTGTGATATTGCCCTCTTTGATAAAGGGAGCATCCTGCGGCAGGTGAGCAGTTTCCATATTTGAGCTAGCATATTGAAGGAGGCGCTCTACAATCTGTTCGTTCTCCAGAAGATCTTCTCTTGGTGGGGAAGTGGTGGACCTAGACGTGGTCAGAGGCTCATTAATGGCTTTCTTATTGGCCAACTTCTTGAGTTTCATCCGACGATTTTGGAACCAGATCTTAACCTGTCTTTCAGTAAGTCCCAAACGTTGAGAAATCTCGAATCGCCTCGACCGGGCCAAATATTTATTAAGATGGAACTCCCTTTCCAGATCAATAAGCTGATGGCTGGTATATGCAGTGCGGGATCTCTTACATTTCTCAAAGGACTTTGTTCCAGCTAAGGGAACAGCATCCAGGTTTAAGTCAAGACAAGGAGGCATCTAAAAATAAAATTAAAATGTAGAGAGTTGGTTAGTTTTAGTAAAAATACAACATGATATTTTTTAACCCACCTCGAAGTCACTGACTGAACAGTTGTCCACAAAATAATTTTCGGTATCAATCTTGAACATATTTCTTGGAGAGCGTTTATCGTTTTTGCTTCTGTTCGCTTTGAGCTGCCTTTTTTAACTAGATGCAAGGAAGTAGACTTATTTGCTTATATACCTCAGACACCTTAGGTAACGGATCGGATTGGTTCCTACCTGTCCCGCCTGCGACACTTCTCGGTTGGCAGACGGCTGGTCTGGTCTCGTAGGTGTCGCGTCTTTTTGAGCCTGGCTCCGAATCAAGGTAAAATCCAGGCTCCAGAGTATGCGACACTTTTCCTGGCACCGTCGCAGGGCAGCGTGAGTCCTGGCTCCGTCTCGCTTAAAGATGGCCTAAAATATCAAGTAGTCTAAAGGACTGTATTGCATAGATGGAAATAACTATACCACGGTTCGGAGGCAATCCAATTATTCATTGTACTTCTGTGTTAAAATTATTGAACAAATTACAATGCCTTCAATTGGTATTGAAAAAAATTATAATTTATTGTACCTGTCATAACATTTTATTTCCGTTATAATTTTATTTTTATAAATTATATAGAAAATATCTTATATTATGTTGAATAGGTATTATATTTCAAGTTAAACAGGCACGTAACCATTCCTACAGTTCTGCCCAGCTTTAGCGCAAGGCAAAGGACCCCAATCCCCCGATCAGGTAGTTATTGGCCATGAACGGGAAAGATATTGGTTTTCCCCGGGGTTTTCCACACCAGTTATGAATATCTACGGGTTGAGTTACCTGCTTAGCCAAGGAAGAGCGATCCGATCCAATCCTGATCCTCGGTCGTAAAAAGAGTGTCACTTCAAGCTAATCCAATAACCCGCTATAAAATCCCCTACATCCCCCGGGCTACGTGGTACATAGCACAGATTTACGATCGTCCAGGCTTATGTAAACTAAAACCAGATTTGCTCTTGGAGGGAAAATCATAGGTGCGACTAAAAACAAATCTCTTAAACGAGATCGCGGTGTCGATAATCCAAAAAAGGTTTGGCCATAATACTTGTCCTTTGTAACAAAACATTTTTAAAAACGTAAAAATATTTAAATATTTAATATCATTTTAATACAATATAAGGTTTAAGCTATTTGTATAATGTTGCCAAGGGTATTACAATTTTTTAATTCTTTAAATATATTATAGCCGGCATAAAAATATTCCGGATATAATAACAAGGTATACTTTTATTGTTATTGACAGAATCTCAGCTTTTCTGCAGTATAATTATTTTTACTAATTCAAAATTACGGCTTTCATTTTATAATTTATTTAATCAAATTTAAATAACATAAATTGATATTTTGGAAATACTTTTTCTGATTTTATATACAAATTTGTCTATGCAATTATTATAAAAACAACAAGTGAGGGCCTTTTTCATTTACTTTAAACCTTTCTTTTGCATGGCTCAGATATGAAGCCAACATGCAAGCCATTTGGTCGAACAATTTTGTGGTCTCAACGGCAGGCTCCTCTTTCTCCTTAGTGAGCTCAGATAAATTGGTGTCATCACATCATAAAGTGATTTCCAGCATATTGAAATTTTCTCCAGCTTTTCCATCTCAGCCAGCGTGTTGTGTCACATGGAAAGGAGATGAGGACACTGGGATCATATTAGATTTGCCATGTTTTGTGAACAATATTTCATCGTCAGCTGTCACATAGTCGTGTCATTTTATTAGTTATTTGATTATGCCAATAATAGAAACTTGTAGAATTTCATTATCGATAAAGTTTTGCTATTACAGGAGTATGTGGAAAAATTGTATAAGCAAATTGGGTAACAAATGAATAAAGTTGAAGATGTGAAATGAATATAAAGGATGGCCTTCAACTATTATTTAATACATATAAATATATTTATTTTCGTATGCGTTGCCATGACCGTAATAGGCAATTATTACGATCTTATCCTGATCAACTCTTGCTTAATGTATTTCTAATTGAAATATTTTCACTCTATTGGTTGACATAAAACGCCGATAAAGAGCTGTAAAAACATTTCGTGAATTGCGGAAAACAATTGATTGATGCGCATTATGTTCAGATATATTTAGCCTTTTCCTATTGTTCAGATGTAATAAAACGGAGACATAACTGTCAGATAATTGCGGTAAATGGAAGGGATTAATGAGTGGATAAGAATTTTGTGCCTACTCAGTGGGGCGATTCATTTGGAGTTCCCTATGGCACCACACACCCTGCCCCCTGTGCCACCCACACCCACCCAAGAACAAGATGCAACTACCGCAACAACCGTGACAAGTACAACATTTGTGTCGCCTGCCTCGGCTTCAATCTGTCGCCCTCCGCCTGTGCCACGCAACCTTTGACACGCATAAATGGAACAGTCAACCCCCGGTTCATGCTCCACCCCCTGGTATCCCCCTGCTTCCGGATATGCACTGCAATTCAAAAGTACCCAATATTTTCAGAGTTTCATATTTTTGTTTGAAAGAAAATTCTTATATTATAAACTGGTCCACATCTTAAACATTTTAAATAATTTCATTAATTACGAAAAAGTGGGTTTTCTTTTGCTACTGGGAAGCTGTTTGTAATTTTGTGATATTTAAAAGTTGATTATTAGAATTAGTGATATTATTATTATATTTTTTGTAAGCCGGAAATTTCCGTGAAATGAGAAATTTAACTTATTTATAATATTTATTTGTTTTTATTTATAAGAAATCCCTTAATGCAATATTTTGTTGAGTGTTCAGACATGCCAATGCCGAGTGTCAGCTCCTCGCAGTACGGTCTCCGGATGGCTGTCCTGGCCCGAAACCCGGACCCGGCACAAACAAAGATCGCAATTTGACTCTACACCACGGAGCTGTCAGCTGGCAGAGAGTGAAGGAAGATTGATTACCGCCATCGAATTGTTTGCCTTCATCCAGGGTGGTTGCAGCGGCGGATGGGGAGCCAGAGGATGTGCCCTTTGTGCCTGACTTCGATTGAATGGCATCGGAATGGAATCGAAAGAGTTGAGCCACCAAACACGATACTCCTGCTGTCATATGTAAACAACACTTGAAGTCTTTGCGGGATGCGGATAGGGTTGCGTTTTAAAACGCAGACGAGGGTGCTCTCGACTAAAGCTTAATGTAAGCTGTGTAATCAGGTTGGGATAATAATTTTGTCAGAAACAAGATGGGCATTTTAAGAATCAAGACTGCTTTTGAAACACTATATGAATTGCTGTTCAAAGCAAAGTTATATGTTCTATTTTCGTTTTAAGACAAACTGGTCTTTGACCATATCCAGAAACCCCGAATTATTAATCACCAATTGCCAAATTTTATTTTAACTTTTCCAGGAAATCATCAATGAACTCCATCTGCTTCGAATTGAATTTGCGCGCATATCTTACACAGTTCTCAAAATTGGACTCATCGTTGAGGCCTTTGTAGGCCATGGCGCGATACATCCACGCCCTCAGATTCTTCTCATCCAACTTGTTCAGAACGAAATCGCAATCGACTATACCTCGTTTGAATTTGCCCGACCTACGGGGATTGAAGAGGAACCGTCAGGAGGAATATCTGAAGGAATTTCTATTTCGTCTGCTCACTTGATGAAGCAGAGAGCGCGATTTATGTAGAGGATATGACTGTCTCGGATATTTTCAATGGCTTCGGTGTACATCTGCATTGCGGACTCATAGTTACCCTTTCGATACTCAGCGTTACCCAATCTAAAATAAGCTAAGTAAATAAAGGATTTATAACTTGTAATTACTTACTTTCGAAAGTTTTGAGCCACTCGTTCTCTTTCTAATCGGGCTTTAGAGCGTTGATCGAGATCCATTTCGACCTGACGCATAAACGGAAATCGATCTTTACTTCGATCTAGACGGCTAAAAGTTCTAGGCTTTGATTTATCTCTGGAAGCAGTATCTTTAGTTGCGGAAATAACAGGGGAAGCATTTGTCCGGGCAGTGATTATAAAGTTTTCTTCTGTTACAATCGACGGTTTAGTATCCTTTTCAACATTGTCTTGCTCGTCGTCCTCGTCACTATAAACAAATGAATAGGAATTATTTCACTAGGATATGCTGCTTATTTGGATATGTTATTTACTCCTTCGGCACTTGAAGGTTTTCAAGCAACTTGACCACTTCTTCAACTGTTGATTCGGAATCTAAAAAGCGCTCATCGATTTGCGGGTGTTGCAAGGAATACATGTTCCCAAATATTAAATAATGACCGCCGGATTCAAATAAATATTTGTTTTTGATTTGACCCTTGTGGACTTTTGTTTACACTGAATGTTTGCCAGCTGGGCAAACGAATCGCGTGGCAACTTGGGGTTGTATTATTTACTGCCCATAACCAACTGGTTGCCTAGCAATATAGTCAAATCAAAAAGTATTTACAGGCATTGGAACAACTATCGATAAGATCGGATTTCAAATGGTCTTAAAACTAGAAAATATAATTATTTTTTTATTTAAATAATTTGACAGCTTAATTTAGTCTAAGGATAAGCCCCATTTCGACCACTAACCGTGATTTTAAATTATTTGATAAAATATTTATTTTCTTTTCAAACTGCAACTAAAACGAGTTAGATTTTTTATGATTTTGCCAGTCATTTGCGTTAAATCGTTTACATGATTATGGGTGTAGAGAAACACACACCTGCATACCCTGATACTAGCACTCTGGCTGATAGTCATATTCATACTCACGCTCACATTACTTTTCATTTAATCTCATACAATTTGTAAGATAAAGAAATGCACAAATGCATGTTCAGCTCAGCTTGGCTCAAAGGATCAATTATAGACTATAAAACATAATGGCATCTAATAATAGTAGAGCCGCAATCTCAACGCAACTGAACCTAGCCCCTCTAACTTCCCTTCACCGTACAAAAGCACTACACTCATCAAAATGTAGTATAAATGAATTATTTTTTTAGTTATTTAAAATAACAATGTAACCAATAAACAATGTTATATTGTACAAATGTTCCAATTTAAAATACCTAATGTTTTGTAGTTTCCGTTACATCATTTAATAAAACAGTAAATACAACTATCATTTATAACATTAATAAACAAATCGTAATACCCAAGTGCTATTCTTAAAAAAAACTTCCCAAATATTCTGAAAAAAATACAGCCATAATTTATTTTCTTGTTAATCATTATACATCAAACTTTATCAAGTTTAAAAATTTACTTAAAACTATAAAATATTTATAATAGTTACTATCAGCATTTTCGACAGTAACAAACAGTTGCATTTATTATTGTACTGATCTAAATATTTGATCTTCCTGAAATTATGTACTGACCTAAATATTTATTCTTCCTGAAATTATGTTTTTGTTCTTAACAATGCTAACATTAATACATTATATGGTGAATTTTGGCCATTTTGAGTAGTTTTTTCGAGTGCTCTCCTGCCTTCCCACTCGCTCCTTTGGATCACCTGGAAGTGCATGTCGCTGGCACATTACCTGCAATGGTGCACTTTGGGGCGGGGTGGAGGAAAAGGATCCTGGCGAGTGAGAGCTGGGTGGCGGATATGTGTCTGTGTCGTGTGGGCCAGGCATTTAGGAGCCGGCTCACTCACACACTTCCACACACACTCGGCCAGGCAACCGGACATGGACATGCTTAAGCGCCGGGCTCTCTCTTGGCCACGTTAGCAGGGAAGGAAACGGAAAGGGGCGGAAACACAGTGCACGGGGATAAATAATTGCAGTGCGGCAAAAGGAGCCTGAACTGGTTGTAGCACCATTTCGCTGCTGCCAGCAAACCGGCAAACCAGCAAATGGACAAACGACAACGACACCAAATTGCTCACATGACGCACCGCATTTTTTATTCCGCACGAATTTCGTTGTTGGTTAGCAAAAGTCGGTAACGCTCCTTGCGGCAACCACTCGCCGCCTGGCGGCATCATCAGCATAGATTGCCATTTCGACGTAATTGTTATAAATGAATTCCACGTAATTTAATTATGGGTTTTAGACCGATGAAAAATATACCGGCCAACGGGCCATAAATACAGCCCAACCCTTCAGATGGGAGGTCACATGCTGCATATGCTGCGTATGCGTATCAGCTGTTGGAGAGGGTTGAGGAAGTGCCCCATCGAATTGTCCATGAAGTGGGAACAGTTCAATGGTAATTGGATTGTGAAATCAACCTGAATTACGAATGGATGGCAGGAGGATTGCAATCGAAACCGTCTGATTGTTTAGAAACCAATCTGTTACACTCTCTAATCGGCGTTGTTAAAATTGTCATAGGACAATGATAATTGTTTCATTTAATCATCGAATTTTTAAGGTTCTTACAAAAAGATGTATATTCATTAATATATTCAGTCTCACCTCACTTAACTCAAAGTATATTTGAATACTTACTTATTAACCTCTAATCATTATTATGTAAACACCAACTATTAAAGGATTAACTATTAAATAAAATATTTCCACTCAAAACCATGAACGGTTAGTTAAATAGTTAACGGGATTCCTGAAACGGGTTTTAAATTTTCATTCACAACTATAGAGCCCTTTATAAGGTTGAAATGAATTCCGCAACAGATGCTTGCAACAACATCACGACTCACGACCCAAGTGACTCTTCTCCGGGTTGGCACAACAAAAATTCTATTGAAAGCCCGAGAATTCCATTTTGGGGTCCCGGATGCTCCACTACCCTCGACCCATGCCCAAGCAATTGGCATTCAAATTTTGAAGTGATTTTTTTCACGCATTCACAATCTTCCGTGGAATACGAAATAAGAAGAGTTTCCTGTGCCTGCTGTTCACTATATATGCATATTTTTGTGGGCCAAAACAGTACAGCCCCATCATATGTGGAACGGACCGAAAGTTTTTCTGGCCCAGCACGATTTGTTTATACGACAGGTGTTGGCCATATCGGTGGCGTTGAGGGACTAACACGTCTGTGAAATGTCATAACGTTTAAACGTGCCAAAAATATCCAAATTGAGCCCACAACAGTTGGGCAAAAAAAGCTAAAAAGGATGAGTGAAATACGGCCAAAAAGGATTTCGGTAGAGAGTTTTCTATTTTATAAATGATGGTGCACTAATGCCCACTTCCTCATAACGGAAAAGAGGGTTTTCAAATACGACAATGTAACTTCTTCTTCTTATTTAATATGCAAATGCAGAGTATTCAAGCTTACGAGTCTGAAAGAAACATACATTTTAAGTACATCATTTTGATTAGGGTTTTTTGCTTTGAAAAGACATTTGTTATCTCAGTTACTTTTTTTCCATGACGATTTTATTGCTTGTTTATTTTCTAAAATAAACTTTCCATTTCTTGAGAATAAGATATGTATACTCTATTCCTCCGATTTCCAAATAACCCTCTTAATTAACTTTCACAGATTCCTGGCCAAAACTAAGCGTATATCTCAGCGAAGCCATTTCATTTGCACACAAAATACATTCCGCTCGGCTGTCGCAAGGATCCAAGCACTTGGCTTTGGAGTCGTGGCCGCGAATTCAAAATTCATTGCCAAAGGAGTGGGGTGGGCTTCGGTTGAAAGCCAAAAGCTTCCGAAAGGCGATTAGCCATAAAAATTATAGATTCTATCTAATTACAAAGCGCTGCGGCTGGGCCTTGTGGAGTGGACGTGCGACTCCCAAGTGAATATTTAATTTAATTAACAAGAAACAATTTGAAATGTTTTTCGCCCAGCCTCCGCTGCGGCTGCGGAATTTATTGTTATGACCAGGCCAAGACTGCGGCGTTGTCATTGTCATCAAGGCCTCGGATTCCCGCCCCGGTGCCCCAACTTCCATCTCTCGATTCCGGCTAATAAAACCGCAATGTTGCCACCGAGCGAATGATTGAGCTTAGGAATTGGCTAACTGGAGCAATGGGAACAATCTGTGCGCTGTTGGACATGTTTATTACATTGGCATTTCGCGTAATTGAAGCTGGCCCGCGGAGAGTTGTTTACTTGTTCCTGCTGTTTGCTTTTTATGCGAGTTTGATTAGCTGCCTCTGATTGCCGGGCGATTAGCCACGCCCACGCTCCTCGAATCCGGCATCTATATTCATTATGGCAGCCCCGAAACATGTGCAGGACATGCTCCCGGCGAAAGCAGCCGAGCCAAACCAGAACCGAGGCGAACCGGACCACATGTCAGGAAATGTCAACAATGCGCATGAAAATTCCAAGGATCCACCCCCTGCGCAAGGTCCTCCCCTTTGACCCGTGACATCCACATGGGCACACTCTGAAAAAATTACCCCTTACAATGAAAGAAATATGGAGTTGTATAAAAAAAATATGTGCCCTGTTGTAATTCCAAGACATTACATTTAAGATGACATTTCAATAAATTCTTTAATCTAGAATTTAATATAAAGCGGAGCCATGGGTGGAAAGTGAAATTAAATGTGATACTCAAAAAGTAATCAATAAACAATTTTTAAAAGCAAGTCAATTCCTAGATTATCAACTGAATTAAATTATTTATTTTTAAATTGCTTGGAACATTTCTTTTTTTTTAATATTTGCCGATCAAACTAATTATTTTTTCAACATGCATGAAGTATTTCAATTGAGTTTTTGAATTTTAAACATATTTTTTTTTAATATTGTGACACAATGTAGGTATTTTAGAACCATTTGTTAAGCACGGGCAAGGTTTCTATCATTTTAAAAACTTCCAAGATAATTATTTTTCCCAGTGCAGCCCTTTTGACTACTTTGGCCGTGGCAAGTGCGAGCGACAATTTCCTCCCAGGGGAAGCAATTTGCCACACACACAGCACTCCATTCCACGCCAAACCATACCACACCTAAGGGCCCAAGGACCAAAGGGATGGATGTGCTCGAATGGAAGGACTGGTGGAAATTCCTTGGAGCTGAGGCTGAGTGCCGCATTTCCGCGCTGCAAGACGCTGGCCAGCCACCGCAGCCAGTAGCAAGTAATGTGTGCGGTTAAATGTCCATAAATCAAATCCTAACACTCCACGTCCGCCGCTCAAGATGACCAACGGAACCAACCGCTGCACACTGGTCCAAATGCCAAAAATTTTGGCAGAAATTCGAAAAAAGGAGTTACAGACCTGAAACTTGGTAGGCAATATTGTCATAGTATATGTTAAGCCTGAGAAAAAGTTTAGTCCGATTGGACCACGCCCTCTACGCCGCCCCATATAAGTTAATGTCCT